TCAGATAGTACGTAATTAGTCTTACATAGCCGTGCCACTAGCAGATCAATATCATTCCTTATTGTAATAAAATAAACATTTTTCTATGTACATGTTATGGGGGTCTATAATTATGATATACCCTGTATCTGTGAAATAGCTTGCAATTAACAAAGTCTCTCAGAATGGAAAATTCTTAGATTTTGACGATGTTTTGTAAACATCATAAATGAGAAAATGATTTTTATTAGTGTTCAATTCAGAATCAGATGATGGAGATAAAGGAGAGTTTATCTTGATATTCTGAATCAACTTTGACAGAATCTATTTTTCCGTAAAAATAGTCAAAACTGAATCATTTCACCGAATAAAGGTTAGTGTTAGGTTTTTGGAATTTCATCGGCAAACAACTGTCACCACGAGGTTCACTATAGTCGATAATCTATGTTTATGTTGATCTTCGAGACTATTATATCTAAATAAATGCCAATCCCACGGCTTCCAAGAAATCCGATGCCACGTCTAATCTACAAAAAATAAACCCATATCGACGAAATAGCGGTAGTTTTAACTATTAATCTGCGATTAACTGATGATTCCGATGATTTTTTTTTATATCATCAATTAATTGCGATTAATTGTTGATTTTAAGTGATTACATAGTTATTCTTACTCACCGTTTTATTTTTCTGTAAAGTGTTTATATAAGAAAGACGATTTTAACGAGAAATTCAATTCTATTTAGATCATCTCTTTATTTTAGAGTAAAACGGCGTTGTCAAGAGTCTTTTCTATAGTCCCTTCGAGCCTTAAGCCGAGGAGCCCAGTGAACAGCTGGTATCTGGGAAATGTCTAAAATAGGCTCGCCTACGTTCTTGTTTCCATAGAACCACGTGATCTGCTTTTAACTATCGAACGTTGAAGATCGACTGTCTCTATCTTGTTTCTATCAAAAGTCATTCAAGAAACATCTTCTAGCACTCTTCTTTGAAACGCATGGTAGTCTAAGCTCTCACAGAAGTTGGTTTATCGAAGTCATTCCAGCTGATAATACCGGATTCATATTATAATTAGCGTGTTTACCATTCTGAGAGATTCTTCTACGTTTTCTTTGATACAGATACTAATTATGTACTTCTGGTTTCTATTTTGATCTACGTTTCTTCCGTTTTTTCGTAAAATACGATGTTTCCACATCTTCTCGATCTGTTGTAGCAATTTCTTTGCGATAAGAAACTTGCATGTCGTACGGTGCTGGATAATTTTCATTTATTGTCATGTTCAACGTAGAATTTGTTTCTTTTGAAAATCTGCGTTCTTGGCGAGTTATATTTCGGTTCGATTGATAAAAGAAATATGTTAAAATTAGTGTTAGTGCACTTTGATCATGCCGATGAATATTCTGTTGAGCAACAAAAGAATCATCACATTTTGTTATCCTAGTCTGTGGTGCTATACATTCGCTGTTAAGTGCACACGTCACCCACGCTTTCATTATCAATCTTGATAGAAAATTATCAGTGACCATAACAAAATCTGCATCTGACATGTAAACATTACTGACTGTCGAATATGATTCGTTGAACCATGAAAATGTACTCACAGATGTTTGACATGGTAAATAAATTATTCTTGATTCACGAATGGAAACTCCACGTAATAAATTATCTAATAGTAAACTTTTAAATTTATTTGTTTTATATCGAATACTAGCATCACCATAAATAACTGATCCATGACGTTTTAAAGCATCCTGAATAACAATTGATTTCCATGCAAAATTGCTTAATGTATCAATATGAGGAGCAAATGGTCGAATGTAATCAAATGGAAATTTATAAATTATACAATTACGACAATTGCTCTTAGTCATCTCACGTTGATCGTTCGTTAAACCTAAGTCGTATATAAACAATTTACAATTAGGAAAATATTTATGAATAGTTTGCATTGATGCTTCCAAACCATGGTAGAACGCTGAACTTGATGCCATAACAACAACAGGTCGACGATATACGGAAGGCTAAAAAACTATTCTCAAATAAACTTATTCCATTTAATTAAGTAAAGGACGGGGGACGCTAAGAGCCAAAATCGGCCCACGCTAAAATCAGTCTTATGTTAACTCATCCGATGCAGTTTTTGTCCACAATTAACCCCAACATATTTTTA